TTCTAGTCTGAAATTCATTTTCAGTCCATCTCAGCTACGCTAGAAGGCACATTATTACTGATTGTTCCAGAGAACAAATAATTCCAATTTTGGTATAGTTTGAAAATAATATATAAATCGGATTTTTCTGACAAGTGTTGTAAAGGAATATATTTGATTTCTATTTGGTATAATTTATGCATGTACGTGTTTTGTGTGCGTTGGGGGGGCTTAATTATCTTGAAAATAAATAAGAAAGTTGTCAACATTTTTCATTGAAGACAAAACTAAAAAAGCTCTTGTCATCCCTAAAATTATTTGGTACAATGCATGATCTGACTCGACAAATGTTGAACCCCACCCTTTCTAGAATATGTGTCATTAAAAATATATTATAGGCTATAAACTCAGTATAATATAAATTTTAATCAACATGTAATTGGGAATTGAAATTATTTGTCTTTTTTGATCATACATTCACACTTTGCTTCTGAAAACAGCTCAGGTGGATTGAAAATGAATTTCAAACTAGAATTTCAATCCAATGTTTTCCCCGCGTCCGCGTCGAAATGTACCCGCCCATTTCATCATCTGTCATTGAATGTTTTGATTGTAACTGATAGAAATGACGTAAGCTGTATATTTCCAATCTTGCCAGTTAATGTTCCGCGGTCTTATCCAATGAAAGGTCTTGTCACAAGGATTAAATATGTGAAGTATGAAAGCCCCAGCCCTTACCCTTCAAAAGTAATGGCCAAGGTTAAAGTTTTTAAAAAGTGGTCCAAACTCCAAGGTCAAGGTCAGAAGGTCAAAGTTCTTGTTATCCAATGAAAGGACTTCTCACAAGGATTAATATGTGAAGTATATGAAAGCCCTAGACCTTACCGTTTTAAAGCTATGGCCATGGTTAAAGTTTTTTCATAAGTACGGAAATCTCCAAGGTCAAAGTTGTTGATATCCAATGAAAGGTCTTGCCACTAAAAATTCATATGTGAAACATAAAAGTTTGAGTATCTACCGTTCAAAAGTTATGGCCAAAGTAAAAAAAAATGTGTAAAAGTGGGTCAAACTCCAAGGTCAGATGGTCAAATTTGGAAGTACCCAAAGAAAGGTCTTGTCACAAGGAATACACATGATCATCATGTGAAGTACGAAAGTCATAGCTCCACTAAATCAAAAGTTATGGGCAAGGTTAAAGTTTTTGTGACGGACGGACAGACAGACAGACAGCTAGACAGACTGACTGAAAGACAGACGAATGAGATTTAATATCCCCTTGCTTTCGCGAAAGCGGGGGACAATAACACATGCATTTATTATTATATTTGAGATTAAACCTACATACGATTTCAACCATTTGATAAATGTAGCTCTTTCTGTCTGGTTCTCTCTCTCTCTCTCTTCCGAATCATCAATTTTCAACGTATAACACTTGAAATCTAGGAGAGAAAAAACATATAAATATTGTGTTACAATTGACTTGTCAAGTTGAAATCCTAAAGATCTAATTCTTCTTTATCGAGGTAAACAAGCAAATTCAAAGAATTGTGGTCCCCCGCTTTCGATGTCTTTGTGGGCGAGATGTTATTTTTTATGACATATTGTGTGTAATATGAACATACTATCATATGTCATTTATTTAGAAAGTAACACTGAAGTTGATTTTTTTTAAGGATGAAAACCCTAATCCTGACCGTTAAAAAGTAATGGCCAAAGTAAAATATTTTTTTTAAAGTAGGTCAACTACAAGTTCAAGATCAACGGGTCAAAGTTGTTGATATCAAATGAAAGGTTTTCTCACAAGGATTATATATGTGAAGTACGAAAGCCCTAGCCCTTACTGTTCAAAAGTTATGGTCAAGTTTAAAGTTTTTTTTCATAAGTATATGTACGCAAATCTTGAAGGTCAAGGTCAAAATTGTTGATATCCAATGAAAGGACTTACTACAAAGAATACATATGTGAAATAAAAAAGTCCTAGTATCTACTGTTCAAAAGTTATGACCGAAGTTAAAGTTTTTTTAAAAAGTAGTTAAAACTCCAATGTCAAGGTCAAAGGGTAAAAGTTGTTGGTATCGAATGACAGGTCTTCTCAAAAGGATTACATATGTGAAGTATGAGAGCCCTATCCATCACTGTTAAAAAGTTATTGTCAATGTTAAATTTTTTTTTATAAGTACGTAAATCTCAAAGGTCAAGGTCAAAAGGTCAAGGTTGTTTGTATCCAATGAAATATCCTGCAACGAGAAATACATATGTGAAATATAAAAGTCCTAGTATCTACTGTTTAAAAGTTGTGACCAAGGTTAAAGTTTTTTGAAAGTTGTTAAAAATCCAAGGTAAAGGTCAAAGGGTAAAAGTTATTGGTATCCAATGAAAGGTCTTCTCACAGGAATTACATTTGTGAAGTACGAATGGCTTAGTCCTCACCGTTCAAAAGATATGGTCAAGGTTAAAGTTTTTTCATAAGTACATAAATCTCCAAGGTCAAGGTCAAAAGGTCAAGGTTGTTGGTAACCAATGAAATGTCTTGCCACAAGGAATACATATGTGAAAAATGAAAGTCCTAGTACCTACTATTCAAAAGTTATGGCCAAAGTAAAAGTTTGGATTTTTTGTGTAAAAGTGGGTCAAACTCCAAGGTCAAGGTCAAAAGGTCAAATTTGGTGGTACCCAAAGAAAGGTCTTGTCACAAGGAATACACATGTGAAATATGAAAGTCATAGCTCCACTAAATCAAAAGTTATGGGCAAGGTTAAAGTTTTTGTGACGGACAGACTGACAGACTGACAGACTGACGGACAGACGGACAGACAGACAGACGAATGAGATTTAATGTCCCCTCGCTTTCGCGAAAGCGGGGGACAAAAAGACAACACATTTAAGTACTTTCCGGAATAGTGAACAGAATTCTTACAGTTGTCGTCCTCTTCCAGATAATTATTAAATGTAACTTATTCTGAAGATTTTAAGATACGATCTTTAAAAAAAGGGGGAGTTAGACTTTTTTGAGTATTTATGATTTGAAATATATCGCAACAAGGTATTCATGTTTTGCTAGTGGTTTAAAAGGTTAGGATAAACGAACAATTATAAGTTTATAACGTTGGTCGTTGGACATTCACTTACTATTACATGAGAGCTGAGTGAATCAAAGTAAGGAATAAATTATCAGGTTATCATCATAAATAGTTTGGCATTGTGATTTTTCGAAATTTATTATAGTGTAAGGTGATAGTATTAAATTTTGAAAGCAATAATATGTAAAAGTTGCTCATGAAAATGCGTCTCTTTGAAACATTTTGGATTCAAGTATTCAAAAATGTTTGAGCAATTGATTTGTAACCACACAATTATTTCCTGAATGAAGTCCTAAAGGATGTCAATTCCACACACACACACACACACACACTCACACACACCCTCCTCCTCTCCCTCCCTCAATACACCATAACACACACAATATTTTCTCCTAAGAACAAATGCTACAGTCATTATAAAACTTATGTTTGTATAAGTAACTATATATAATGTAAAAGAATCACTCAAATGTTAGCTTAACGTTTATTGTTTCCTTGCATTCTGAATGACAGGTCCATACGGTATAAAACACCAAACGCCAGAAAAATAAAAATCTCAATGCTTCCGTAACCATTGTAAGGACTGAATGAAAAGAAAGAAACGCATAATCAGAATAATATGAAGATCTAAGTTTTCAGTTCAAGCCTTATTTTATTTCAGCGATTTTAAAGTGTGTTGTGATAAAAATCAAACATGTCCTTTGTTGCAAATTGAAAAGTCAAGTTGATGTCATTTTCATCGCCCCCAAATTCAAGGGGCATAATAATATGTACCGTGCGAATGTCTCAATGCTAGTGGGTTTGCAATGTACGGATATCGTGGAGGAATACCATCTCATTTCAGTCTCTTGCGAACAATTTATGCACTTTTACGCTGATTTTTTCATCCAGCAATTGTAGCAGCAGTTTTTACAACAGGTTCTGAATCGCATGAGGTGCTGAAAGGGGGGGGGGGGGGTCTGACGGTCCTGCCTGGTTTTGGTTACCTGCGGATGGCCAGATAGTGGTCTTCAGACGTATGTTTAACGGTTGCAAAGCCCATTGATGTGTTCCAAATACAGTTGCAACTTCCTGTTGCGTAGCTCCGTTTAGTATCATCGTTAGCCTGGTTGTGTTCATCTTTGTTTCGGCGTGGCATTGCAGTATCAACACTGCAATCAAATCTTAAATATGGGTTTAATAGGAGTGTTAAAAGTTTCTCTAAATCCCAAATATCAACGAAAATAAACATCCGATTTAGAAGAAATCATGAAAAACACTACTTTCATAAACATGTTTAATCAAGGGAGATAATTCAACACTTGGGTTTTAAAACCCCATGTTGTCTTTTAAATAGGTCACAGGTATCCAATGATATAAAAAATAGTTGTTTCATGTACATTTTAAAAATTTCTTTGACGAGTTAAACAATATGCGTTTCTTTTTTTGTTGAGTATATATACACACACAGTGTCCATACAGTTGGTGAAAAGCGTTCTCCTTTACCAGTCAGTCCAGCACGTAGCAGGGGACAGTGTCCATACAGTCGATGAAAAGTGTTCACCTTTACCAGTTAGTCCAGCACGAAGAATCGGAGGGGGAGGGGACTGTCCCCTCTTTTTTCCAAACATAACCTTATACCACTAGAAATACATAAAGTGTCAATGCAAAACATATGTAATTATTAATGTATGTTTTAAACAAACATGTGTTTATATCAATGGTTTTTTTTTCTTTCCATGTACAATGTATAGATATTGGCAGTAGCATTTTATGGTGAGAACCTCGTAAGTTGTTAGATCTTGTTTTCAATCCATTTGTATATATAGTATTTATACAATAAAATATGTTCAAACAATTCTTAATGGACAAATAAATGTTCGAATGATAAAATAGAGTCTCTATTAGAGAACATCTTGCTTTAACATATTTTTAAAACAAAACAGTCTGATATAAGCATATTTATTTGTAAAAAGTTTATTTAAAATTAAACACTTTTACACATTAATTTATTAGTCATCTTATTGATGTCTTCCCGTACATGTGATATTTTATTTAATAATAATTAGAATTATTCCTGAATTATACTGTGAAATCACTAATTTTTGTGGGGGTGTAGTTTTCGTGATTTTCAAGGTATGAAGAGACCCACGAATTTATATCCACAACGAAATACAATTTTTCACATATATTACTACTGAACAAATCTTTAACCACGAAATAAAATCCCCAATTTTATTTTATTAAAACAACAAAAAATTGACCCCTCGAAAATATGTGATTTTTTAGTAGTCCCCCTCATATACATGTATATTTAATCATTTTTTCTTGCATATTTTCCAAACATCCCTGTAGGTTTGTTCCTTGACAATTTCGTTTGTTGGTCTGACGTTTGTTGATGAATATGAATCACCGTATTCTTTAACCCATCCTCGTTTGCTGAGAAACTCGCCTATCTGTAATCTCACATCACCTTTTTCGATTGTCAGTTTACCGTAATTTGAGACAAGGTCCGTTTGCAAATCTCCAGATATATAAACACATTCTGGAGGCAATGCTGTTAGATCATCAATCCTCCCATATACGGAAGTACTACACGTACTTGGAAAAGCATTTTTGGAAGAAACTACAAAGTTTCTAGACTGTGGAATTGAATAAGATTTCTCTTCCACGATTTCTATATAATTGAATCCTTGGTTTTCTTTCATTGCTTGTTGTCGGGAAGATTTGATACTAGTTACCAAGGGTTCAATTTGGTAAAATTCGGCCTCATTTTCCAGTAAATCATAATCAGAAAATTGTTGTGGTAGGCAAAGTTTTCCAGACCTACAAAAATTCAGTATGTATCTAAACATTTGTCCGTCTCGGTCAATGAATATCCCATTTTGATCTCTACTGATTGGGGTATCTCCATTCATCATCAATCCCAACGTTGAATTTGGATACTTGACAAGGGTTGCCCTTGTGGTGTAATAAATAAAACCACCGACATTTAATAGAATGACTTCATTATTTTCCATTCTCACAAACTGTAACATAAAAGTATTTTAAATTAAATAAAATAAATGTTATTGTTATTGTACGAGTATATGAAATCCTTAGGGACACGGCAAAATTTATCACAATGATGGGACAAGTACAAAACAAAATTCTCGATATGAAAAATTCGAGGCCCTGCCGTGGCATTCGTATTGAAAAAAAATATTTGTCCCATGTCTTTAAACTTGTGAAAAAGTTTCTGTCCCATGGTTATATCTTGATTTTCAGGAGATTATTGAACAAAACTAAAAAGTGAGTCTTTCAAATTAATGATTTTCCAAACATTGACTGGTTCCTTAGAAGGTAAACTTGTGTAAGGATCAATAAAAAGAGATAAAGGTTTCTAGCTAATTTTCTGATCATATTTGTTGTCCAGTATATCCGTCCGTTTGTAAACTTTTCACATTTTCGACTCGTTCTCAAGAATTACTGAGCTTATTAAAACTAAAATTGCAAAAAGCATCCGAGGGCTACTTTGACCTATGATTAATGCATGCGCGGATCTAGAGGGGGATGTCCGGACCCCCCCCCTCTGGAATTAGCAGATTTATTAAATTTATATACTTAACCAAGTAAAAAGTGACCTTGGACCCCCCCCCCCCACGAAAAGGCAGATCCCCCCCCCCGAAAAAAAATTGGATATGGTCAAGTTGGTATGAAAAGTCATAGGTATGAAGAAGATTTGGAAGTTAACGACGACCCCCTGTTTCAAATTTTTACCGTTATTTTTTTTTTTTAATCACTGGAGAATTTTTGAAAACATTTCAATCTTCTACTTTCGATTTCGAAAAGACTGATTAGTATGATATTTACAGATTCATTCAATTGATAATAAATTTTGATTTAAATTTTTAATTTTACAATAATAACTCTTGTGGCCATGACTAGCAATAAAGTTATTGTAAAATATAATGGAAAATACCTGATGATTTAAGCAAAATTGGAACTTGTATCCGTGCAGGTGCAAGAGTTCGATCGATCTATGAGATAAAAAGGCGATCAGTAGAATAAAAAATCTGAGAGATAAGAAATATCAATTTCCGGACTCTTGATAACTGGCATCCTCGCTAGCCAAGGGTTTCCGATCCGAAATCTACTCTAGTAGATTTCGGATCGGAAACCCTTGGCTATCGAAGATGGATAACTGGTTACTTAATGTCGATAGGTAATAGGGCTGGGTATTGGCCCAAGATTTCGTATTGCGATATATTGCGATATTTTTAACTGTATTGCGATATGTATTGCAATATTTTCAATGTAATAAAAATGGCATTTTCTTCCTATATTTACTATAATTTACGTGCAGAATGTACATAACTATGAAAAGTTACCAACACCGGAAAAAAAATCTTGTTGATTTCATTTAAGTTATGCTTTGAAATGTTCCCACAAAACAACTTCTGTCTTACTGTTTGGCTTAATAACAAACTTTTATAAGTCCATTTTTATATTTAATGACAAAATTCCTTAATCTAAGCATATTGCCAATATATCGATATTACAAAATCGTATTGCGATACGATATTTTTTGTCATCGTATTGCAATATATTGAAATATCGATATTATTGCCCAGCCCTAATAGGTAACTTTATTACTTTATATATCTTCCTGATATATCTTCTCTCGTTCAATCGCCTATATATCCGGCTGAAATATTGCCGACTTGGCGTTAATTAAACAATACATGTAATAATCAATCTCTCGCTCAAAGGTTTTGATCAAGGTTTAATGTTAAATTTTATGAAATGTGAGTCAAGTTTCAAGGACAAGGGGTAAAACATAGTAGTTCATGTGACATTGGCAGTACATGGGTGGGAAAATACATTCAAGAAAAATGAAGTTTTTTTCAGTTGAGGGGGCATGCAATCCTTTCTCAGACATTTTTTTATAAGCTAACTTCAGCTGAAGTTTCAAGTGAACTTTTTCTGATCAAAATTTGTCCGTTATCTGTCGTCGTTAATCGGCGTCGTAAACTTTTCACATTTTCATCTTCTCCAGAACCACTGGGCAAATTTCAACCAAACTTGCCACAAAGTATCCTTCAAGGCTTGGGTAAAGGGGATTCAAGTGTGTTTAAATGAAGGGTCACGCCCTCTTCCAAGGGGAGATGATTATGAATTAGTGAAAAATTAATGCATCTTTTAAAAAAAACTTCTCAAGAATCACTGGGTCAGAAAAGATGAAACTCATGTGGAAGCATCCTCAGGTAGTTTAGATGCAAGTTTGTCCAAATCATGACCCACAGGGGTAGCTGCAGATTTGTAGCTCTCCGAAAAAAAAAATTGACAGACCGGAGAGCTACAGTGCCACCCATTGTGAAAACTGTATATTTATTGCGCCCAAAAAGTTGCGCTTAGTTCTGGATTAATTCACAAATTCTTCCAAATTCTTACCTCAGATGCAAAATTAGCTAGATTCTAAAAACTCTATGAAGTATTATGAAGTACTTTAGTATGTGACATTTGCACGAAGTGCGTTGGACCGAATTATCTTGCAAACCAAAATGGCAGTATAAATAGACGAAATTTTCGATGATCTTGATTTCAGGGCCAGGTGGGCTATTAACAACAATTATAAGGAATTTTTTTGTTGTGGAAACAGTTAAAGAATATGTTAGGAACACACGGTTAGTAATATTTTGAGATGACAGTTTAAAAGCATGGAGAAATAAATCGAGAAACAGCGCACTTTCTTGTGCGCAATAAATATACAGTTTTTACAATGGGTGGCTCTGTAGCTCTCCGGTCTGTCAATATATTTTTTCGGGGGAGCTACAGATCTGCAGTTACCACAGGGGTAGAGTGGGGTCACAATGGGGTATCAACGTTTAACATAGGAAAATCTTTAAAAATCTTCTTCTCATGAACAACTGGGCCAGGAAAGATGAGACTCAAGTGGAAGCATCCTCAGGTAGTGTAGAATCTGTAGATTCAAGCTTGTTCAAATCAAGATCCCCGGGGGTAGGCCTTATAATTCAAATGGTCAATGTTTTGCTCTGAGAGACTCGAAATAAATGTCAGTTCAAGCAGTAAAGTAAGAGGTGCACATTGGCATTATGTAATAAAGAATCTGTGAAAGTATCATTAAATTTTATTTAGTGGTATGGAAGAGTTGCAGATAAGAGATGGGTACCTTTTAATATAATAAAAAAAAAATGCAGTGTCAATATTTTGCAATGGGAAACCCGAAATATGCTTCCGATCATTTAAAGTAGGAAGTGCACAATAACATTTTGTCACAAAGATTCTGTGAATTTATCATTAAACAGAATTTATCATCACAAAGGCGGACATACATCCTGATCACCATATACATGTATTATAACACTTTTCAAGCGGGGTGTATAATAAATTTCACCATGCATTCCCACCTATGTCCAGCACTGATGAAAGTGGTAAGAAGCTGCTTGTTATGTTCCCCAAACGAAGTTGGGGAACATATTGTTTTTACTCTGTTTTTTATTATGTTCCCAAACGAAGTTGGGGAACATCTGTTTTTACTCTGTTTCTTATTAAGGTCTTCCGTCTCCAACGGAAGACCTTATTGTTTTCGTTCGGTTTCTTTTTCCCTATTATTATGTCGCCC